TCGGCTGTTCCACCCCACCATGCCCTGAGCCATCTGATGGCAGCGTCAGTGGGACGCGAGGTTTAACAACCCCGTTCACGTAGAACGGCGTGTAGCCGGTAAGTGAATGTACTGCATTGTTCAGAAAAAACTCTACGTATGGCAGCATGGCACTCCAGCGCTTCGGCGTCTCAGCGCAGACGCTGCGAAGAACGTCTTTAACGGCGCGATTCACGCGCTCAGTTTGACAATCGGAATGCGGATGTTCTGCTGTTGACATAGTCAACTTGGTGCTCAGCACCCTGAAGATTGCCGATCAAAACTTCCCAATGTATCGCGGGTCTCTGTCAAAGACATTTGACTCCGAGAATTCATGTTGTCGAAAGCATGACCCACAAACAGGGTCGCTGTACTCACACCGTCGATGGTGTCCAGCACTGCCGCAAGACGATCCATTTTGCTCAAACTGTCCACAAAGACCACTACACTTGTGTTGTCCGCCGAATCCTTCAGCAGGGCAAACACAAAGTCCATACCCATGGACCACCAGCATTAGGAGGGCACCGGTAAATTGGCCAGCGGCGCCGCCGCATTCGAAGAGATTTTTACCTTTTGATACGTCTCACACGTGTGCAAATATGTGCTCGTCCATTTGTACAGCTTGGGTGACCAATAGTGGCGACATATCAAGCTGTACGTCTTCTCACGACCGAGATGACAACTAAGTGGGGTATCATGGGCCTCATATAGGATACGGTACTTATAATTTGCATCGTGAGGAACCACAATTCGTGGCGTATCCGTCGAGTCGGGGCTATAATACCGCAAGCCGTTTTTTACAACGAATATCGGTGCAACCGTGCGCGCGGTCGCGCCGACAACATTTTGTTCGAGTTTTTGGATATCTTGCCCCCGAGAGCCCGTTGCAGCGCTACGCACATATCATCACCCGCTTATGAGGCACGGATCAAATTCGTCACTGACGACGTCACCATCGTAACATGAGCAAGCTTATAATCCGGTCTGCGTAACAACGCATCAGCCACAGCATTCTGCTTTCCTGGCTAGCACTTCACTTCGAAGTTTCATTCTGCGAGGAAGGAAAGTCACCTGACCATCGTCTGTGAGAGGTGAGGCGACAGTGCATAATGACGTATGATCTGTGTAGATCACAAACGGCTTTGATCCAAGCAGGTACACCCTGAACTTGACAAGTGCATACTTCATCGCAAAGAATTTCTTGTCGCGGACTGGGTAGTTCTTCTCCTCAGCCTAAAGCTGGGGGAATTCGAACGCGATCACCCGGTCATGTCCCTCGGCGTCTGATTGTAGCAGTGTACAGCCAATGACAAAGTCCGAAGCGTCACAGACGACACTGAAAGGACGATCGGGGTCTGGCAACGCCAGTATCGGTGCATGAAGGAGGCTGTCTTTGACCCTGTTAAAATCCTTCCGATGCTTGGTATACCAACACCATTTCACATCCTTCTTAAAAATTTTTGACAGTGGCCGTGCCATTATTGGAACCGGCTGGTCCACGATATCACTGATCTTAGCGGGATCTGCTCGAAGGCCACGCTTCCCAATGAAGCACCCTAAAAAGGGGATATTGTTAGCGCCATAGATGCACTTATCGACTTTAGCATACAGCTTTTTTGCGCGCATGCACTATAGGTCCGTTCTTAAATGAACGATGTGGTTTTCCTCATCTGTCTTCCTGTGCCTCGCACGAATGTGTACCATGATGTCGTCGAAGCATGTCTGTGCATACGCCCGGTGGGGCCTGAACAACTGCGTCACAAGACGATTAAATGT